ATATTTTTTTTTTTCTAAAGATGTTCTCTGTTAAATGATTTAACTTTCCAGCAACCCTACTTTATAACCATTTAACACTCTTGCTATGTCCGTCCTACTTTTTAAAACTCCATTACCAATTTCCCTTTCTTTAAAAACAGCAGCCCACTCGCTCCATACCCATCATCTACATCCACTTGCCATCGTACACCTGCCCCCTCTTTCTACTAATGCGAAGCATTGCAGGTCCCTCTGGCAAGAGATGCGATTGCTACAGAGATGCGTATGGTCTTGCCAGCATCCTGATGTGTACAGTGCATAGCAAAGCCTTTTAAAACTCTTAAACCTTCATCTAATAGGACAAGCTGCTGCTTTATATGAAATAAAACCTTGTTGAGCTGATGTCACTGTGCACATCCTTTCAATGTAATTTGTTCTAATTCCCTGGTAATAACTTTCAAAGAGGTTTCTGGAAGATGCTCACTTGTAGACGGGAGACTTTGGATTTAAAATTAGCAATCTCAAATTGGAATATTCCAACCCGTTCTTTAGTACTTGGAAAACAAAGCTCGATTCTGGACCAATGCCCTCAACATGCAGAACCATAAAGAGGATCTTGGCCATATTCAAATTTGTGTTAAAAAGCAGCTAAAACTAAAAGTACATTAAAATAAAAAGATTTTGATCTAGAGGAAGCTTCCAACACCCTTCTTCACTTTACCAGCATTAGCTACTTACAACACCCCACTGTGATAGGGTACGTTCAATACCGAAACAGCAAGAGAGGAGGGTGATGGTGATCTTGAGCTTAGGGTAGGGGACAGTAGAGGCAAGAGACGGTACTGACAAACCATGAGGCAAGACGGACGGGGGTTTCTGAGGATAGATAATGCCCTTGTTCATGTAAACAGCTAAAAACCAATAGTTCAGTGGTTGTGCTGGCGCTGCCTAGGTTGGCACACGAAGTTGCGGTGCCGCATTGCATTGCGGCCCTGGATCGCCTGTGCCAGATTCTGCCTTTGAAGATTTTTACGTCCCTGCTTGCGCCTTTCCACCTGAGCTTTGGCGCGTTGGATCCGTGAGACTTGACCCACTTTCCCCAAGATGGCGGCTTTGGCAGAAACGGAGGTTGCATGATGAGGTGTGCGTCGTTCCACTCTGGTTTTACTCGGTGACCTGGAAAGAAGGCATTGATGCATCAGCAACAACTTATCTTAATGTAGTTATTCTAAAAAAAAAATTGTAGTCTCATAGTGAAGTTTGCATAAAAAGATACGAGATTTTAACTGTATAACCCAAATTTGATAAAGTAATGTTCAACCTTTGTTACATTTTTGGTAAAACAAGCTTGGCTCCTCCTCTGAGTCCATGCTGTTGGATGAACTCAACGTTCTCAGATATATTTTCTTTTCGGGTCGAATGTCTAATGTAATACTGCATTTTGGCCACTTGGAGCCGAGCATGCAAAATAAGTATTTCCTGTGCTCCTCAGGTCCACGTAGTCGTCATAATGCAGTATTACATACATTTTACCTGAAAAGAAAAATATATCCAAGAATCAGGGCTGCCCCTGTAATGAGGCAGCTGCTTCAGGTAGCATCTCATTGGGTCACGTGGAGGGGCTGCCACCTCCTTTCCAGCAAGAGCCTCCCAGGATGCCAAGAACTCTTAGCACCCTGTAAAGCTCTGGCCAGCGTCTCGCCCAGCTCACGGACATCACAGGTTGCCAGGAGCTGAACGGGCTGCTCTGGCTGGCGTCCCGCCAACCAGTGATGTCAATGAGCTGGGCAGGACACTGGACAGAGGTACCATACCCCCATAATCATATTGCAAGGTCCTTATTAACATTCGGTCTACTGTATCCTGGATCTGACTTTCAGTTGGCACACTTTTTATCCTCCTTATTCTCCTGGTATGTACTAGTGCAGTCGATGTCATCAAACCCCCATCTTCCCCAGCAGTTGTAAACATGCTTTCGAAAGTCATTTAGGCCCAGATTTGTAGACAGATCCCATAGGCTACGACCGATCAGTGCAGGATTATTGCTGAACTGGCTAGAAGTGGACTACCACCAATCAACATCAGCCTGTAATGCTAAACCTGCAGGGATAAGCCTACCATTAGTAGCTGGGACTACTAGTGGTAGGCCACAGTATGCGCCCTGTCACTTTTCAGGCCCCAGGCATGACTGGTTAAACATTATAGCTCTGTTACTGCTTGGACACTTCACATATTACTAGACTTTTTCCTTAATGATGATGTGTATAGATGTACAACACTTACCTGTCTCTGGTGACTTCAATGGTGTCTCGCCCCACCACGATGCTTCCACTTGTGATGTAGACCGACATGCTGGGGTGTTCTATGAGGAGGTCCTCCAGTGGACTGCTTCCCACCGCACTTTGGTCGGGACTCTCTGCAGTAAAACAGGGGGGAGGGGTAACAAACCAGCTCTCGTCCATCGAGTGGGGTGGGCGGGGGGGAATAGACCAACCAATCCTCTCACCCAAGGAATGTGGCAGGGGGCTGGAAGCATCACTGTCCTCCTGGCCTTCTGCCACATCGTCCCTGCTTGAGGTTAGTGTGTAGCTTTCTGATATGGCAAGGGAGTCAAGTTAGGGGGAAAGGCAATACTAGAATTTATTATTTTCACATATAACTATACAAATCATTTTATTAAAAATCTGCTCTTACATTTTTACATTGCTTATAAAATGAAGGACGTGCTCTATATAGATAAAACATGGTGGACATCTGACCATCAGACCTACCGTATGGCCAAAAGGGTGTGGAAACCCCTCCAAATGATTTCGGGTGTTTCCAGGGAAGGTTCTGTTAGGCCTTGTTCACACCAAATGCAGAGCAGATCTGCATGAGTTTCTGCACACGTAGTGCAGTGGGTTGTGCCGTGTTTTTTATGCGTTCCGGCCGTTTTTGGTTAAAAAAAAAAGAAAAGTTTTTTTTTTTTAGTTTAAAATGGGCTTTCAGTGCGTTCCAGGCATTTGCATGCGTTCCAGAGCAGGTAAAATAGGGCCTGCTGATGTTTTTTTACCTGCTCTGGAACGGAACGCTGCGATGTGAACTGGAGCTAAAAATACCATTGGAATACATTGGACGCAGTTTTGCTCCGGTCTGCAACTGCTCGGCTCTGCACCTGCTCCGCGCTTGGTGTGAACAAGGCCTTAATGTTACAGCATACAAAGACATTCTAGACAATTGCGTGCCGTCAGACCAGACCAGGTCTTCTCATCTGACCTCACATATGCTCTTTTGGCTAAAAAGGAACAAATTCCCACAGACACAATCCAGAATCTGGCAGAAAGCATTCCCAGAAGAGTGAAGGCTGTTATAGCTGCAAAGTAAGGACCTCCAGATCTATGCTTATGGTTATGGCACTGGATGTCCATCAAGCTCGTACAGGGTGATGGTCAGATGTCCACAAATGTTTAGCCATAAAGTATAAAACTAAAGAAAAAGCAGACCCTAGAACATATATGGGATCCAACATCTTGGGGTACAAATGCAGAGAAAAGCAAGACATGCCAAGCCTCCTAATTTCTCCAAAACACTCATCCAGACTATGACAGGGTACAAAAGATAATTAGGTTGCAGTAGCAGTGCTCTTGAAAAAACTATTTCAGTGATGCGTGGACATTGAGGAGTTAAGACACCCACTGACTTCTAATGGAGCTCTCGGGTTTTCCCTCTAGTCACAGATCCTGCTTCCTATCTAAAACAGGGAGCATGGGATCTCCTCATATCGACCATGGAAGGTGGGCAGAAATGAGAACTCAAGTGCCCTCATCTATTATGCGTCCAGGTAAAGTGATTTATTCCTAACCGCATGTAATTGTATTACATACAATTACATGCAGAGTGCAGATGGACCGGCATTTTCAAATGTGGCTTATGAACATGACCAGGTGACAGCAGCCGCTTCTGAACAGCATGTTTGGGATTTCTGCTGCAGTAATTCATATGTTACTGCTGCAGGAGTCCATAAACGCTACCCCTGCACAGTAAGGGTTAAAGGAGAACTATGGGGCCAGGGCTTTTCCCCATAGTTCTCCTTAGGGTAACGGGAGGACACAAACTAGCGTCCTCCCGTTACCCTAAGCTCAGTATACCGCGAGCTACAGCTCGCGGTATACTGAGACTCCGCAGCGGATCCCGACATAGATGTCGAGATCCGCCCAGCTGCGTGAGTGACAGCTGGCTCTGCCTATCTAGAGGCAGAGCCAGCTGTACCCGCCCCCTCCCGTCCGTTCCGCCAGTCAGCGCTGGCGCTCGCCAGTGTTCGCTCACCTCCCGATCTACTGAGCCGACCTGTGACAGTCTCATTGCCACAGGTCGGCTAGAACTATGAGGTGAGTGGAAATCACTCATCTCATAGTTCTCCTTTAAGTGCTCGTTTAGGTCTAGGGGCTGGAGAAAAGCAGATTTACTTACCTGATCATCGTTCCCCTGGTGGTCGGCGCTCTCCTCTTCTTCCTCTCCGCATCCTCACATCTAGTGCAGGTCTATGGAACCTGCATTAGACCGGATGGCGTCAGCGGTCCTTTGACCACTGGAGCCCAGGAGAGAAGAGGGTGTGGGACCCGGTCTGGCAGCTCAGAGGTAGCCGGCAGAAGCGGGGATCAGCTAAGTAAATCTGCTTTACCCCATTCCCTAGACAAAAACAAGCACTTAACCCTTGCAGTGCAGGGATTACCCCACTGCAAGGATTCATTTTCAAAATGCCAGGAGTTCTTTAAAAGAAAAAACTGGTTAAACCAATTCGGGATACTCAAATCAATTCTTTCTCTGCTTTAGTTCAGCTTTAAGCCTGAAATGTTCCCAGCTGTGACGCTTTCTCTTTAAGCTCTGCAAACAGCTGATCCCGGGAAAGACATCCTGCCTGGAAACAGTGATGGCTAGCTTTTCCTTGACCATTTTCCATGACACGCTATCATGTGACAGTCAGCAGAGGCATACTGGGCCCAGAGCTAAATTTAAGGCAAATCTCCGCAGTGCTGGCTCCAGGAATGTTAATTGCTCTGGCTGAAGATAACAAGCATTGAAGCGAGGCAGGGAAGGCAGAAAAGGAAAGGGGGGGGGGGGGATAACGTCACTATCCTTTATTTCTCACCTGGTATATCGATAATAAGCCAGCCATCATCTTCCTCCTCCGAGACAAAGAGTTTGGGATCTTCGGGTTCGCTGGCTGGTCCCTCACTGAAGAATAGCCGGGTAAGACGCTGAAACATGTTTGGATCGGCCCGTGGGGAAGTACTCAGAAGGTTCTTGTGAGAAGTGAAGTCGTAGAGGGGTAGACGAGAGGGCTAATGTGGTGTGTTGGGGTCAGCAAAGTCCCGCTGAGGGATCTGTAAACATGGAGCTTCTGTATAACGAGATCAATAGCCCTGCAGGAAAAAAAAAAAAGAGAACAGAATATAATGGACGACAAATAACCGGCATGTCCTAGTCCTGGGTAACCCGCTCTATCATATCAGTCCCCTATCATACTGCATTCTGTACAGAAGAATGTCCTGGTTCTTAGAACAGGCTCATCCACTATGTATGGGGGGGATGCACTGATCTGTAACACTCACCTCTCCAGCTGCTGCTTCTCCCAGAATCCTTTACTCCAGGAGCAGGCTGACAGTCATGGCTCTTGTCGTGCATTGAGATTTGCATGCTGCATTAAAGGGCAAGTCCATTTTCCCAGGTGGCTTTGGGAAAATAGAGTTACCCCCTCCAATCTGGCCTCCTCTCCAACCTCCCACTATACTTACCCCTCTGCCGGTGCCAGTGTGCTATCTGTACCCCGTACTGCCGTGTAGCACAGCCCTGTGCTCTGGATTTTGAATTTTACTTGCAAATGATGAGCACTAGTGGGAACCTGACCGCGCTGACTAATGAGAAGGGCTTCTTACCGCACTTTCTCGCCATTTGCACTAAATGGCAGCACGGGTACGGATAGCACATCTCTACCAGTGAAGGGGAAGGAGCGTTCACTGAAAGTTAAGTATAGTGGAGCGTGGGTGGGGGAGGTGGGGGGGAGAGATACACAAATTGCCAGTGCTTGCTCAGAACAAGCATGCAGATTAGAAAGTCAGAAGCAACTCAGAACTTGTTCCAAGTCAGTGCCTTAGAAGAGAAGAGAGAAGGGCAAATCACATTTTCACAAGGCAAAGTCTGCAGTTGCAGCCTCCATACAAGCCAAGTATAGGTTCCTCGGTGTCCAGTTGATTATCTCTGAACCGCGGCGCTAGGCGTTTGCGTACCGCGGCACCAGCGGAGCAGCAGCCCCGACGGAGGGTGCCGCCCTTGGCAAACGCCTAGTTTGCCTCACGGTAAATACGCCCCTGGCAACATGTGCGTGGCCACAATGCATGCCAATGGCCTTGCTCTGTGCGTTGCATTGCAGTGTCATTAATTGTGAATGGCACCCCAAGGCACTGTACAGTGGAGCTCAACTCGCAGCTATGTGCATGCAAAATCCTCTGTCTGGGTTTTCATGCTTTAAGATGGGTTGCCTCAAAGCTGATCTCCGGCCTTCCCTTCAGTCTTGCACAGCTGTACCGGCTCCTCTCCAAGACTGAAGTTGCTTACTCTGATTTCACTGCACACTGTGAGCTTTTCACAATGTGCATTATAAGCTGCAGAAAGTCATATAGAGCCTCACTTCCTGGCTGGAAGATGTCCATCATCAAACTATTTCCTCCCCAACCTGACTGTCCCTGGCCTACCCCCTATCATTCACTGGATTTCAGTTCTTTCATTCATGAAAGCTCAGCATCACATGTGGGCATTACCTAATACAGCCTGCCTAGGAAAGCCCACTCATCCAGGCTGACATTCACCCATCAAGGCATTTTCATATTTGCATAGCTCCTCCCAAGAGCCAGCCTACTGTTCCTAAGAGGAGTACTGCGGCAGGGTGTTGTGTTTCAGAAAGCCATGTAGAGCATTCTTCTAGCTGCTCCCACCTGCCATGGATTGGCCTACATTGCACAGAGCAGCAACAAAGACCCAGTAAGCCTCAGATGACATCACATGACCTTGTCCAACAAAGTATGTAACGGAAATAGAAAAGTTTTATTTAATTGGAAAGTTTCTACAAAGTTTAATACAATGTAACACAATGATGCAATCAGGGGCGTATTGTGGCCGGGTGACACCCGGAGCGGAGACTGGGTGACACCCTGCTGTGACGTCATCGCGCATGCGCGGCCATCTAATTGACGCCTGCCGGCGCCATCTTGGTGATGGACGCCGGCAGAGAGGAGGGGATGTCACCTGGCGGGACGAGGTATGCGGCCGGGTTCCCTCCTCTCTCCTGACACTGTCGGGCTCTCGGTCCATGACTGAGTGCCCGACTTTGAGGGGGTGACACCAAAATGACTGTCAGTCATTTTGGTGTGACCAAGGTGCGGGGCGCACCCGCCTTGTGACGCTACAGGATACAATGTAACACAATGATACAATTCTAAAGAATGCTGGAGGGAACTACCTAATAAATGTAACTATTGCTACTACAGGGATCCCCATAGTACAGGTATGGGCAACTCTGGCCCTCTAGTTAGTGTGTGTGTGTGTGTGTGTGTGTGTGTGTGTGTGTGTGTATTATATAAATTCTTCTATAAAATTTAAATTTTGAAAAAAATATTATAACTTATGTGGCTTTCCTTTTTTTTATTTAACTGATAATACTATTTGGATAATTAAATTCACTTAATTCTAGACACAGAAATGCTTAGAACATTCATATAAATCCTGCACCATGTTACCACATTCCTCTTTTAGTCCCGAGTATTTACAGTCTGGCATTTTTTTATGTAGAGCAAAGACCAAGCTCCACTAATCTCCTTACTAACTGAGCCTGTGACTGGCACAGAAACCTCCTATTAAAACAAGTCATCAGTGTGGCCTCATGAAGGACGCGGGGCCGGAGGATCGGCCTCCGTCTGCTTAATCTGCAGCCCTGGTATCATGGCGGCCGCTGTCTGGCTCATAGGATAAGACTCCGTATTTACTGATAATAGGAGCATTGTCCATTGATAATCTGAGCCAGGGTGTCTGGGCTCTTTATACCGAGCATGGCTGGAAAAATATACACATATCTACACACACACACACACACACACACATTTTATTTTTTGTTGAAATCTTAAGACCCTCTTGTGCGATCTGTGCAGATCCCGGCCACTTATGTAAAGTAGAAAAATATAACATTTTTGACCATGACAAAATAAATACATTTATTATTATTTTATTTTGTGTTTAAACTTTACATATAAGACCACCATGTGTGAATCCCATCCACTTTAAACACACACACACACACACACACATTTGTTGTGCTTGGAGATAACCTGTTTATGTCCGTGTCCAAGAAGACTGTTTAGAAGGTTGACATGCTAACTGCACAAATACAATGTGGGTGAAAGTTCACATCTCAGTACGCAGGACGTCCTGATGCAACCTCAGGAGTGTGCAATATTCATGTGAAATGCACAAACACAACAAGGGGAGCTGTTATTGCCTTTTACATGTTTTGATATTCTATGTTGCACAGGAAGTTCTCAGAAATTAAAACAGGAAACTCTGCAACATTTTCAGGGAGGAACCACCCTGTCAAAGATAAGGTGTCAGATTATGGGTGATCATGCTCTGTTGCTGTCTCCTAGTTGTGCTCCTGTGTTGTCACCCTATCACATGGGCTTCCGATGGAGGCCGCAGGAAGCCATTTCAACACACACCGCCATCAGGAAATGCTTGGCAGACATTGCTGCAGTGCATGTAGACAGGAAGTGGCTGGTGTTCAGCAGTAGTGATGTAGTGTTGTAGTGATGTGCTCGCAGCTCCACGTGCCGAGCCCGCCAGGAAGCTGACAGCACCAATCACAGGTACTGAGACATATCCCGATCTCTGCAGCTGCGGACCGGGGTAATGTCTCAGTACCTGTGATTGGCGCTGCGGCGCTGTCAGCTTCCTGGCGGGCTCGGCATGTGGAGCTGCGAACACGCCCGAGCCCATCACTATTCAGCAGCACACAGCAAAGGATGAAAAAAAGGTCACAAGTATTTTGTGCACAGTAAACTCCCTGTTATCCGGCATTCACGGGGGATTGGTAGATTCTGGATAAATGTAGTTTCTGGTTGCTTGAGAGAGTTACTATTAAAAATAGGTCTAACTAATGCCATACCCCATACTATACCATAACATAACTCTGTACTGACTTCATATTAATATTGAAATGCAGTAATCAAAAGCAAAGACACACTTAAAAACAAATAAGACAGTCACATGATTTGTTTCCAGGATAATATATGCAGCAGATCGGCAGAACAGGGAGTACACAGGGGATTTTTTTTTTCCTGGTTAGGTGAGAGTTCTGGTTTGTTGAACACCGGATAACAGAGAGTTTACTGTACTTTCTAGTCCCCAATCTCATAGAGCCTGGCTTCTGAACTACAACTCAATGTCTGAACAATGTAACATTACCGTTGCTTGCTGGAAGCAATGCATGATGGGTTTTGTAGTCTTGGGAAAGGGAGATTACATCACATCAAGCAGCAGGGAAAGAGATGCAAAGCACTTTGGGAATCCAGGAAGTTGATGAAATTGATGGGCAGACAGAAGGCGGCACTCACTACATAAAAGGGATTTTTTTCAAGTAAGCTTTGATTGTATTATCAGAAACAACTCCAGTATACATTCCCACTACAATGCTGATGTTATAAGAGGATAGTAAATGCTAGGACCTTAGAACTCCTTTAATAACACAGCTCCTGGTTATAACAGCTATGAAGAAGATTGCAGAGGGCCGGCAATGCATCTGCAAACAATGACAGTGTCCCTGGCGGGAACTGAACTCAAGACAGTGGTAATGCCACGCCATGAAGCCGACCGCTTGTCATGTTCTGGTCCACGGATTGCTTCAGCCATGCCGCAGTCTTGAAATTCAAATTCTGTATATAAAGCTAAATATCTGACGACAAATATAAAAAAACACCAGCATGGGAAACACTTGAACTGAACATGACAGAATCACCCGATTTGAAATCTGTTGTCTATATAAAGAAATCTGTTTCCTGAGATATTATCTCCGATCATGTGCAAAGCTGCAGAGAACAGGGAGACACAGATCAACGAAACAGCCTTCTCTTTAACCAAGCAAGTTTATTGAACTTTGATAAATGCTGGACCCAGTCATGTGTTCTCTTCATTTATAAGGTTTTATATGGGGACGGCCTACCAATAAAAGCCACAACAGGGCACATGGCAACCCTACCCATCAGGTGCATACGTGCACATAATGGGAAAAACTGAGTGCCAGCAGCAGAGTTTATTCCGCTTTAAACCCTGAATCTTCAGCTCTGACCTGGAGAGAATACGAGTACATAACCAAAAACCA